ATGGCACAGGATGTCCTCTCTGATTTCCTCTTTACATTTCTATTTGGTTGGCTTCACACTCTGGAAAGCGGTGCTTCATAAAGGATATTTTTGGGAAGGAATGAGTGAGTGTGTGTGTGTGTGTGTTCATGTACACACATGTATAAAGGGCAAGAGTAAAGTTTACTTATCTTTATTTCCTCCCCAATTCTAAGCCAGGACCCCACAGCTAAGGCATTAATGTGAGACCTAAAATTTGGCTCCATCTTAAGAGTGAGGTGGCCTAAGACATAAACTCCAGTTCCTAGAAAAACCACAAGATGTACTTTGCCCACCTGCTTGTGATAAGTGTTCAGCCGTCCCCTGGCAACAGCTACCCCAATGTCCCAGGTGTAACCTTTTGCAGCTTGGGTGTGCAAGGCACAACCAATCAGGTTTAATTGCCAATCTAGAATGTTGCTGTAACTACTATGAAAACCCCTGCTGATTTGGAGTCAGGGCTCTCAATTCTGATCCGCTGCGTCGGTGACGGTTGGGAGTCCCTGCTGGAGCTTGAATAAACGACCCTCATGTGCTTACATCGGAATCGGCTTCCTGGTGGTCTTTGGGACCTCACGATCTGGGCACAACATTAACAAATGTTTACTGAATAAAATCTACTTCTAAATCAGCCTGGGCCTGCAGATCATCTAAGCTCGAATGCCTCTTTTACACTCGAAAGACCAGAAGCCTAGAGTGGAGAGGCCTTTGAGGTTAGAAGAGCAAGCACCTGTGCTGAGGACTGGACTCGCCAGGGCAGCCTTTAAAGCTCTGGCTCACCAGGCTGCACACCTGACCCGTGTGAAGCCAGTGTCTCAGGGGTGGGGCCGCAACAGGTATTAAAGCTCCAAGGGTGCTCCAAACACACCAAATCTTCGAGCGGCCTCTGCCTCCCTGACTCCTCACAAGCAGACTGCAGGGACAGTTTGCCAAAAGTGACTTTAGGGAGATCCCACTGGCGGGAGGAGAGCCTGGCATATTTAATACTCATTCTTTTGGGCTCCACCTGACACTGCTGAGGCACTGGCACTTTAGCTAGGAGGCTCAGGATAGTCTTTGGGTCAGCAGTCCACCCGGGGAAGGCCCCTGAGCCCCGGGTCCCGTGGGCAGACTGCTGTGGTGGGTGGGGTTTCTGTGCACATTGGCCACGCAGCCGACGCCACGGCTGGCCAGGTCAGGCAGATCTGCTGTCCACACTGACTGCATGGAGCTGACGCTGGTCACTTCCGAAGTCTGCTCAAAACTACTGACTGTAAGTAAGAAAATCTTTGAGCTTATGTAATACTATTAGGCAGAGGAACTTCCTCCCCGCCCCCGCCCCCCCCCCTTTTTTGAATGGCTTGCTTCACTTCATTAATGTCCTTCGGGTTCATCCATATTGTAAGAAATGGCAGGACTGCTTTTCCTTAAGGCTGAGTAATATTCCTTTGTGTGTGTGTTTGTGGGTGTATACCACATTTTGTTCATCCATGCATCTAGCACCTGGGTTAATTACCTTTTTAGCTATTTCGAATACTGTTGTTATGAAAGTGGATGTGCAAATATCTCCTGAAGACCCCAATTTCAATGCCTTTGGATATGTACCCAGAGTGGGGATTACTGGATCATATCATAACTCCACTTTTAATGTTTTGAAGAATTTCAGGATTATTTTTCACAGTGGCTGCACCATTTTACATCTCCACCGATGGTGTTCCACGGGATGCAATTCCTCCATATTCTCGCCAGTGCTTATGTTTTTTTAATAATACCTGTCCTAACTAGTTGTGAGGTGACATCTCACTATAGTTTTGACTTGCATTTTCCTGACAATGATGTTGCATGTCTTCTCACATACAGTGGACCCTCAAGATACGACTGGCTTGACATACAAACAACTTGGGTTAATTAGGTTAATGGAAGATTCATCTGCCTCTTCTTATCTATAGCGGGTACCCAGTTAAACATCCAGATCTCAGATTATTGGCTTAGTTACAACAAGCCCTTGGGAACCAACTGAGTTCATAAGTCAAGGGTCCACTGTACATTTGTTTTTCGCTATTGAACTGCAGGCATTCCTTATGCATTTTGGAAATTAATCCACTATCAGGTATGTGGCTTACAAATATTTTCTACCATTCTACAGGTTGCCTTTTCATCTTGTTGATTGTATATTTTGACTTTTTGCCTGTACTTTTGTTGTCATATCCAAGAAATCACTGACACAACCAATGTTAAGAAGCTTTTCTTCTAGGAATTTTACAGTTTCAGATTTTAACTGTTGAATGAATTCTTTAATCCATTTGGAGTTGGTTTTAGTGTGTGGTGGGGGTCCAATTTATTTTCTGTCTCTCTTTCTGGTTATGCAGTTTTGCTTTTTTTTTTTTTTTGGTACCAGGGATCGAACTCGGGTCCTTGCGCTTTCAAGGCAGGTGGTGGAACCACTGAGCTAAATCCCCGGCTGGTTATGCAGTTCTGTTGAAGAGATTCTTTCCTTCTTGTATATTCTTGGTACCCTTGAGTGTAGAGTGTGGGTTTATTTTTGGAGCCGAGAAGTATTTCTATGAAAATAAAATTTCCCATTTAACTGTTAGATAGATATAGTTTATATAGGAAAACAAGGTTAAATGCTAAATTATTTTCCTTTAGATACCAGTTTTCAGAACAGTGAACTGGTTACTAGCATCCTCAGATGTAATGATGTGTGTAATTATTTCTGAGTGTCATTCTTCTTGAGTTTTACTGTATTTGATGTGTTTCCTGATATTTTAATTATTATTAATGCTTCAGTTGTTCCTCTGGCCCATGGGATCCTCTCTAACTGGGCTTCTGTGGTCTATGAAAGCCTCCTTGATGTATCTCAAGGTGTTCTAGTTCACCTTCTGCCTGCACTGTTCCTAACCTAGAATCAGCTATTTGTCTAAGAACCTCTGGTTTCTTTTGGTGGAAAATGGCTAATACTGAGTCTTCAGGTGCTCACTGCTACTGATTTGTCATTATTTCTGACCTTTCAGTTCTAAGCTCTCTAGCTTTTGTGCACCCTGTCAATACAGGATTTTTACTTAATCTCTTTAATTTTATATTTATCCATCCTGTACACTGAAAATCATAGTTCCTAATAGCATTATCATAACTACTTTATATGCTTTGTCTTAAATTAAGTGCAATAGTTTCAGACAACTGATCCATTACTAACAGAATAATGATAAAACAATCTAAGTATTTTTTGGTAGTTATTTTGTTATATTTACTATTAGGGGCATGCATTGTAATTGCTTGAAATAACTCCTCTCTGCATGATTAAGCTACAATTTGATAAAAGTTAGATTCATTTGTTTCATTTTTCCCTTTGAATCCTTAGTTATTACATTTTCCATTTCTAAATTTAATGTTGTAATTATGTAAAATACTTTGTTCCAAAGTCAAGTATATAACATAAAATAAGATAGTTTAGAGAAGTCTGATTTCTATCCCACTCCCCTCAACCTCGTCTGCCTCCCTGCCATATGTAACTGATATCGTCTGAACGTTCACTCCTCTCCCTGGAGTTCATACCCTCAAAGCGATGGTGATGGGAGGTGGGGGTCTTTGGGAGATTGTTAGGCCATAGGGATGAAGCCCTGGTGAATGGGATTAGTCCCTTTATAAAGGAGACCTGACAGGGCCCTCACCACTTCTGGCATGTGAGGACACTGTACTAAACCTGGAAATGGCCCCAGAAATAAGACACTGAATCTGCAGATGCACATTTAACACACCCAGCCTTTGGAACTGCGAGAAATGAACTGCTGTTGTTTATAAGCCATTCAGTGTGGTATTTTGTTGCAGGAGTACTGAGTAGGACTGCAGCTACTTCACTTTGATGATTTATATTTTAAAATTATTTTTTATAAATTTTAATAGCATGTGTGTATATCTGAATAGCCTTGCCTTCTTAAGTAAAAGGTAGCAAAACTCATGTTATTCTCCTCTTACCAGTGCACACAGTATTCTGGGGAAAACTCCTATATTGGTGTGTGTAGATGCTCTTCACATACCTGTGTAATGAGAAGAACTCAGTCTTCTCATGACAGCAGGGATGATTCCAGCAGTCCCTACTACGAAGCCTTCCGATGTTCCCAACATTTCATTCTTATGAACAGAGCTACAGTGCAGAGCTCTGTGTGTGCATCTTATGTTTATGGAGTAGGTTTCTCCAAGTGAGACTGGGGGCAAAGGCAAGTGTAGACATTAGACACTGTGAACTGTCTGCAATTGTAGGTGGAGGTAGATCAGCTGGACAAGGCTTCTTGCAGGCACATGTTCTTAGCCAACTTTATCAGTGGACTGAGTCATACTAGACATGAGTGCGTGACCAGCCAGACCACGTTCTTACTTTCTTTGCTTGAATGAAACACAAGAGTCCTGCAAGTTTTTTGGCCAGGTCCTTGGGACCAGCACTCTTGGGGCCTCGGCTGTGCTTTTCTGGCTTTGCCAGCTCCTTGCAATGTCTCGTCCTGGGCTTCTACCGGAGTGAAACTTTCACACGAAGTGTTCACTGAAGAATCAAAGACTAGCGTCTTAGAAGAACAGGTTCCGTGACGCGCATGTGTGTCCGTTTGCTGGGGACATTTTTACAGCAGACTTTGGTCCACAACCTGCTTTCCTAGTTATGCTCTGGGACAGTGTGGTGAGGGCAGGAACCTTGAGTCCTGTTTACTTCTAGGAGCTGGTGCCCCACCAGGACTGGAAGGACCAAATTATCCCGTGTAAAATCAGGTTCCAAGGCCATTTGCTGGGCCCTGAATTCAACTGCGGTCCCTAGACTGTTTCAATTATGGAAGGAATACATTGTTTTTAGCTTTGGACACTTTTTCTTAACATCTGTGGACAAAGGAGTTCTAACCTTCCAGTTCTTTAGGTATAGCAAAGCTATACCAGTGTGGGCAGATGAAGCAGCACCATGACCTCTAGTTTCTGTGCCTCCTGTGAGTGCACAAACATAACACACATGTAAACTCTACTTACTTCACTCCACTTTATTCTGGATGTGTATTACAGATAACACAACTCATACATAGCAGTAGACATTGAAAACTAAGGCCATTCTGTGAGTTATTTTTAAAACTTGGTATTCTCCACGGAATGATCTTTTAAAAAAACGGATTACCCAAACCAAGATTCTCTTCTGAAATAAAAATTTAAAGTAGATCCAAGAGAATTTTAGGGCCATATTTAATCTGAAGCTCATCGTGAGACAAAACCACTTTTGTCTTCTACAGCACAGATAACTCCAAGGGGCCACTAGCTCAGCCATGGGCTGTCTGCTCCATGTTACGACGGAGAAGTGTTTACCCACCACGGTGACCAGTGCTCAGAGACCATGGTCCTCCTAGTGAGGAGCAGAGACCTGACCTAAGACACGTTGCAGAATTCTTGGAACGAGAAAAAGAAAGGGACCCATAACTAAGGCACTGAAAGCACATTATTTCGATAAAGAAATGTAAACAATTTAACACCGACAGGCTCCCTTCATTAGTCTTTACTGTAAGAGAACACAGGGGCTTCGCCTGAAGTCGGGTGAAATGGGAAATGCCGCCCTGTCTGCAGCATTCAGTCCGGCTGCCCATAAATGATTCCTCCAACATCAGATGAGATCGGGTGCGTTCAGGGTGGGATGGCTGGAGACCCATGACTCTTGACATGGTGCTGTAGAAGTCATTTCAAAGCAACTTAAGTGGAAGCTGTTATCACCCTATCATCTGCATTTCAAGAACACAACAAAGAAGAATTTTATCAGGAACCTTAAATGATTAGGGTCTTCAAAACATCTAGTCTTCAACCTTGTTCTTTGAATTTTAGAAGTACTTTGTTTGGCCTGTGTCATGAGAGGAGTCTGTCACCTCGCCAGAGCTCCTCTTGTGGGTTCAGATTTTAAATAAAATGGTTCATATTATGAGTAAGCCACACTTGGTATACTTAAAACTTTTCAGAATGGGAAATCTGGCAAGTGGACAAATAGCACTGTGAACATTTCCCCTTCAAAGTACCACAAGTGCAGTAAGCAGGAAGCGCCTGTCTGCTCCGGGCGCAGCGGGGGACAGAGTGGCAGGGTGATTCCTCAGGGCCGTCACAGCTACTGAAGCGACCTTCATTTATACTGCACATTTCAGTATCAATCTTAACTATTCTAAGCTCCAAATCATTAACTATATTTCTTTAAAAAAGTGGACTTTCATGCAGCTAAATTTATGTGTACATAAATGCAACTGTAATTTTTAATAAGCCTTACTGTCAAAAAGGGACTTATTTCTAATTCTTAAAGCGAGTACAATGTCTACATTCCCAATTTTAGTACGTTATAATTATGAATTTTGGGTAGGTAAAATAAAATCTCTAGTTTATCTTAAATATGTTTGCTGCTATTAAAAGAAAAAAAGGTTTTCCCATTTAAAGATATCTGAGTTAGAGGCCACTCAATTGAATGGGAGTTAAAGGACTAAAGAACTGGCCGAGCCTGCAGGAAAAGTAGGGCCCTGTTACATACACCTTTCCAGTAGGAAGCAGTTCTTCTCTTCTGTCTGGGACAAATGCAATCCTCATTGTACAAACTATTTCCGCGTTTAAAAATAACCCAAGGACGTTTTAGAGCTTAAATTAGAAGCCTCTTTCATTAAGAGAAGGGGGAAAAGGTTTGTTTTGTTGTTGTTGTTTTTAAAAGAATACCTTTAAAAACCATGAAGTTAAATAGCTGGCCTGGGAGCGGAAGTGCACAATGAGTAATTAGTAAGCTCCTGGTAGGATTGAAAACAGCTTTGAAGAAGCGTTAACTGTGGGCTGGTGTGCTTCAGGAGAGGCGCTAGTTAAAACTCTCCCAACAGAAACAATGTGTCAACAGTGCTCAGTCCCAGCAAGCGCCTTCTTTAAGACTCTGCTAAGCAAGCTCACAATGCCGTGTTTACCTTTCATCACGATGCGTGATTCAACTGTTAACAGTCACTGTCAAGCGATAAAAAGAAGGCTTTCGTGCCTAAAGAGCACATAAGACAAAAAAAGAGTAAAGCTAACACATTTGCTAACAGCTAAAGACTTTTAATTGTCTTACATTTTTAGCAGCTCTGACCAATACCCCTACTATAAGACCAAGGAAAAGCAAAACAAAATAAAACAAAAACGAGGAAGGGGCACACGGCTCCAATGGAGTGGAAATAATGACAATACGCTTCTTTGCCCCAGAAGGGGACTGGTGCTGTGGGTTTGTGAATTTTCCAGTGACTGCAAATGACAGAAATATTTAGCAGAGTTGGTCAAAAGTGGGTTTAAGAGAGGAAGCCTAGGGGTGGAAGCAGTGCTTTTGTTACACTGAAAATAATTCCTTTTGTGTTATTTTGGTTTTAAGAGTAAAACTTATCCAGGCTACAGGGTTGAATACTTTAGGATACACCATTACTGCTAGATCCCCATGCATATGTGGAAAACACAACCTTCCTTTTTTGGTAGGTTTTAAAGAAATATTTTACAAGATAGTTTGCATCTACAATAATAGAACGTTCTTTTAAGTGTGCCTTTAAAAAGGTATGTGACTGGGCCGGGGATTTAGCTCAGTGGTTCCGCTGTTTGCCTCAAAAGCGCAAGGTCCAGAGTTCGATCCTCAGTACCAAAAAAAAAAAAAAAAAAAAGTATGTGACTGCACATATACCATTTTTAAGAAAGAAACGCGCCACCTGCCAACAAGTTGTAAGGACCCTAGCACTAAGCATGCAAGACGGAGCGTAAGTGAAGAACTTCAACTCAATTAATTCCTATGTTTTAAAATTCAAATGAAGATTTCAAAGTGGACAGCCTGTGGTTGCTCCCTGAGGCATGTGCAGGTGTGGTTTCCAGAGGGGAAAGGGCACAGGTGGTCCTCTGACAACTTAGCACAAGATACTGGGACAGATGAGGGGCTTCCTATCAAAATGCCTGATCAGTTAGGGACCAGAGTTAGGGACCCTGCCTTAGGGAAGCATGGGTGGACTTGGCTGGTGTAGAAAGGGTGTGGACAGTGCTCACTGAGGAAGCCTGGGTGCCATCTGCCTGGGCACCTGGAGGACGGCCGCTTGCCTGCAGGAGGGTGTGCAGGGCAGTTGCATGCCAGTGCGTGCTGGGCCAGTGCTCTGGAGTCCAACTTGCCTGTGGTCTGGGGAGTCATCAGGAAAGAGGATTGGGCCTTTGGGAAAATCTTGTGTGTACCTTGTGTGTTAACAGCCTGATGACTGTTTGGTAATGCTCGGGCCCGAATTATCTCACAGCAATTGATCCCTGCTATGTACGCGGCATTGAAGTTACATTCAGAGGTTTAAAAAGAAAATTGTAGCAATATTTTTTTCCACAAAACTAAGTGCAAAATATCTTTAACAAATAATGACATTAAGAAATATCTGACATAGTCATGCAAAAGTGCATCTTAGTTTACAAAGACTTAGAACATTTCCAAAATATCCCCTAAGTTCGACATTGTGAATCTTACCATCTTACTCATTTTTCCTTGAGTTTAACCGTGGCTGCTTGTGTAAAAAACGGTAGCATGCAAGTTCAATGATTTCCAGACCACCAAATATCCTCTCTTGTAGCACGAAGATGACAACGGTAATGATAAAGTACCAACGAGCAAGACTATACAGATATATGAGCAGGCACATGGCAGGGCTGAACAGGGTCCAGTAGAGGATGGACAGCAATTTGACCACAAGGACCCTGAGCTCAGACTTGCAAGGTGGGATTACACTCTGCCCAGTAAAATGAAAGTTCTTCTCCCCTTGGTAGAAGGAGCGCAGCCTCTCTTCCTTCTCCTCCCACCGCTTGTGGCACCAGAGTTGCAGGTCCTCCTTGGACGCGGGGAGGGTATCGATGGGGTAGCGGTGGACGTGGAAGTGGATTTCCTTGGGGAAGTTTCCATGGAGGAGGTGCTTCTCGGTCTGAGGAATGTTGTGAGGATACGCCACGGTGATGTCGTGTACAGCATCAAGGTTCTTACCTAGGTTTGAAAAGAAAGAAATATCTTTGGGCTAGCAGTGATCAATGGGGTGCTATTGCTGATTCACGCTGCAAGGCAGAAGCAAAAACTGAAAAATGAGGACACAGTGAACCGTGATGAGCAAACAGAGCTATAGATACAGTACTCTGTTCCTGGCTGCTGGGGTCAATATTTACCCATCGCCCACCACCCCCACCATTTGCTAATTACTGCAAAGGCTTTAAAAAGATATGATCTCCATTCCCAGAAACGGTAATCTGCCATTCTTGAGCTAAATGGATAAGCACATTAGGTCCAGTTTAAGATGGAGAGCCATGGGATTTTAAATAGAGAAGCAAAGATTGCCCAGAGGGCAGTGACAACAATGGTGTGACAACCATGTCTCTTTGTGTTCAACACGGTTACAAAGAACTGATGTGGACAGCAGGCAACTGGAGGGGGAAGGGAGTCATGGCAGGGGTAGTTTCAGGCATGATCAAAAATATGTTGACTTTCTGAATTAAAAATTTATCACAGTAAAAGACACACAGCCGTGAATTCCCTTCAAAATACTTCCCCCCACTTTGAATATACTTATGTCACTATTCTATCTACTTTCTGAAGCAGTTCTGGAAGTCCTCTTTCATGAGTGTCTCTACTTGCCTTGTTTGTGGTTTCCTCGATGCCCTGAATTGATTAAAAATGTTTACTTTCCATGGCATTTTGACCTTGGGGAAGAGCCAGAAGTCACACAGTGCCAGATGCAGTGAGTAAGGTGGATGAGGACAAACAGTAAGGCTTTTACTTGACAGAAATTGCCATAAACATTACAATTGATTCAGGATAGCAACACAGCCACAAAAAGACATGAAAGGGGACTTCCACCAGAGCTGTCTGAGAAGGTGGCAAGAATGATGGGATAAAGTGAGGGGAGTATGCTGAGGGGGATTAATGACAATGGGTCTTTTACTGTAATACATTTTAAAAATTCTTATTTAAGCATTCACTGAACGTTCTGATCACATCAGGGTGTCTCTCTTGGATGTACTCTTTTCCTGTGCTCTGCTTCACTGCCATACAGTTCACTCTTCTGCTCCACAATGCACTTCCATCATGATGTACGTGCCTTGGAGCCAAGTGACCATGGATTGAAACCTCTCAAACTGTGAACCAAATAAACCATTTCTCCATTCAGTTATGTATGTCAGGTACTTTGTTCCAGCAATGGAAAAGTGACTAATATGGAGGCAAGGAGGAGCAGCAAGGAGTGAATGTGCTTGTTTTTGGCTTAGAGTGCTGAGCAGGTGAGGTGATGGGGGCCATTTAATGGAAGCTGTATGCAAGGATCAGGGAAGTTAAGTATTTTGTCCAAGGGCACAGGACTGAACACGCTGTCTTCTGTACTGTGTTATCTTCAGAGGGACTTTTGATGACTTCAGTTTCTTATAGAACTTGCTAGTACAGACAAGACTAATTTGTGGTGACAGAAATAAGAACAATGGTTGCCTGTGGAGGTGGGACATGCCTGGGAGGGAGTATGAGGACATTTTCTGGAGTGGCAAACACTCTAGATTAAAGGTGTGGGTTACATGATGCTCCATCTGTTAGAATCCTCAAGTGACTACACAGGGAGCATGCCACATCCCAGGAATGGTTAACTGCTAACTCACCTGCATTAAAAATCAAGTCAGTTTTTATAGCATGAATCAATACTACCTACTTCCTAACAGGTCAAACTCTCCCTGACTATAAAGTTAGTCACGTTCCCTAGTTGAGGGTACCCTCCACCCGCAGACCCCCTGCATCTCTGCCATCCATACCCAGATCCTCATGCTGGTTGCCTTACCTCGCCTCTATCCTTTTCTTCCCACTTTCTCTCATGGTGGAGAAAACGAGATGTCTTTGTCATTTTTTCATGCCAATTAGGAGTTATATTCCCATGGCATTTACTTTCAAAACTCCTCTGCAACCAGTTTCCACTTCTGTTTTCTGTCCCCAACCCTTCCCCGCAATTGGGAGTTGCTGGCTGTCACACACAGCATTGCCCACAGCCTTGACCCATCAACTTTACTCGTGCAGCTCCTCTATCTTTCTACTCGCTCTATACCGCTCTCACATCCAACCTCAGAATCCTGTGACTTGGTCTTAATCTAACCTTAAAATAGTCATAAGTTCCAGCCTTTCTGCCACATGTGGTTTGTAAAGCTTAGCAATCAAATATTTACACTCATGCATTATTGGAAATTGGTTTCAAAATGGTAAGAAAAGTTACCTACTAGTTTTATTAAGAAGTGAAACTGCTCCTTGTTTGTTCTTTGCTCTTGACAACCTACAGGTTAAGGGTGTGTATGTGCGTGTCCCTCGTCTGTTTGTGGGGTTATAATGTTTAGTATTTAAGCAGCAAGTTTTGAGACGATGATGGCACCACCGACAGGGACTGTCCTTTGCGAAGAATTCTAGCTTTTCTGTGGGCAGAGCCCAGAGGGCTGTGGAGGCGACCAAATCCTGGCCCAGCCTCTCGAACGCAGTACTTAACCTCTCTGTGGCTTACTCGGTTCATTGTATCTATAAGTACCTCAGTGCATGGTTGTAAGCGTTAAATAATATACATCAATCCACACACAACGGGATCTAGTGCACTGGAAGTGCTCAGTGAACACCAGTGGCTGTATCATGGCTCATCTGACTACCAGGTCACGGCCAGCCTTCACTCCAGCAGTAGTTCCCACAGCCATACCGCATTTGAATCCCCTCTCTATGCTACTCTCTGAGCATTACTTGCCTAGGCCTTGAAGATGCAAATAGATACCTACTGATTTCACCTTTCCACTCAAGTGTTCAAACTACTGTTTTGTTTTGTTTTTTATACAACGGCCAAAAAATTTTCCATTGGCTTCAAATCTACTTTTCCCTGAACATTTGATCTTAGCTTCCTTCAATGATTAGCTCCAACCCTAGAGTCCTAAGAAGTGTTCCTCGCCTGCTCTGAGCTTACAGCACATGTGCTGCCGACCCCTTCGGCCCCCTTCTCCCATGCAGCTCAAGAAGCAAAGACCACATCTCTGCCTCCTCAGAGCCTGGCACTAAGGAGGCTCCAGAGACATGTGTCTGATCTCCCCACGCTGTCCTGGGCACATGGATTTAATCTTAGCATCTGCTACTATAACTTCTGTACTCGGTGAGAACGACTCGCTGCATGGTGTGTGTTTTTGTTTGTTTTTGTACCTTGGGTTCTATGGCTCTGAAAGGATTACAACAATCTTGGGTAAGGATATTCACTTTACCGAAGAGCAATATCCCAAAAGTTTCTTATAAACTGCTTGTTTACAATTTAGAACTTTGGAATGATTCAACATAATTAAAATACTATCTGTTTATATGACAGGGAAGTACAGAACACCATTATGAAAGGAACCAAAAAAAAGACAATAACGTGAGGAGGCAGCTGGGGGTACAGCTATCCCCTCATGCTTATTCCCAGGGCTCTGCTGGCCACTTATACTTCCCTTCAGGTGAGAGATCAGAAGCCTAGTGATCCATTTCTGGACTCCCGTCACAACGGAACATAATGAAATGTACTTTCAAATTCTTGTTCCTTGAATTTTTCTAGGTAACATATATGAATTTCATGCAACAATTTAAAAAATTTCAATCTTTGGCATAAATGGGTTAATGCCAAAGTGAGGAAGGAGGAAATGGGAGAAAGGTTTTACCATTGGAAGGGCAGTGTGTGAGTTGTCTTGATAATTTTTAAACTATATAATTAAGTGAACAAAGATCTCCAGATGACACAAAGCCACAAATGACTCCATGCTGCTGAGCAGGCAGGCCCAAGTCAATGCAGGTTGGACAGCTGATTCCACATCATCCTGTCCAGACCTCCCAGCCCGTGGGCTCTAGACCAAGGGTATCAGTACAACCAGAAAAGTGAGCTCCCTCTTAGGCAGAACAGGCAAAAAGTTAGCATGGCTTATGTGGCTGAGTTTATATGTACATGATGATAACAAAACTGGAGAGTCAAGAAAAGTTAAGATATGCCTCAGGGTGTGGTCATACATGGCTATAATCCCAGCACTTTGGGAGGTTGAGGCAGAACGATCACAAGTTTGAGTCCAGGCTGGGCAATTTAGCAACTTAATTAGACTTTGTCTCAAAATAAAAAAGGATGGGGGCCAGGGATTTAGCTCAGTGGTTCCGCGGCCTGCCTCGCAAGTGCAAGGTCTCGAGTTCGATCCCCAGCACCAAAAAAAAAGTGCCTGTGTCACTAACCAATAAGGCTGAAATGATATATATTCAAAAATAAGAAATTCCTAAAATTACAAAGGATTTATACTGCCTCTAGATCTTTTGGTAGGAAAACAATAGATGAACTATGCCAATTACAATGACTGGCATCAGGGACACAATTTTTAAGATCTCACTGCTTTCAGATGATTTCAATGACAAAGCCTAGATGCCAACTACTTGTCATCTGCTATATGGGGCTTAGAAAAGGGTTTTAGTTTCAGATACCAAGTCTATTGGAAAGTTTTATATGGTACTTCATTATTTTATAAAACTGCACTGTGTTAGAACAGCCGCACTCACTTGGGCCCACAGTTATGCCCATGCCAAAGCACTTGCTTTAACATTCCAATTCCTAATTTTTAGTCTCTGATACTGAGGGGATCTTGCATACAGTATTTTACTCATGTTTAAGTAGCCAGTAGAAGTTTAAAAGCTACGACTGAATTTTGCAAATGTAATATCCAGAAAAGAGTGTTTCCAAGAACATCAAGTTTGATCCATGATGATTAGAAGACTCCTACCTAATATGAAAAGCTCCCTGGAATGGGAAGATGGCGATATCCTTATATGTTGTATGTTTACAACAAAAGAAATGAAAGAGTGCATATTACAATGAAGAAATCCTGGTCTGCCCATACCTGCTAAAGCATCAGGTTTAACTGTATAGTTCAATGACAGAATAATACAAATGAAAGTATTTTTTTAACCTAGTGATTTTTAATAGAACTGATAAC